GGAGCCTCACTCTGTTGCTTAGGCTGGAGGGCTGGAGTGCAGTGGCATGATCTCTGCTCACTGCAACTTCTGCCTCCAGGTTCAAGTGATTCTCCTGCCTCAGACTCCCAAATAGCTGGGATTACAGGTGCCCACCACCACGCCTGGCTAATTTTTGTATTTTTGGTAGAGACGAGGTTTCACCATGTTAGCCAGGATGGTCTCAATCTCCTGACCTCGTGATCTGCCCGCCTCAGCCTCCCAAAGTGCTGGGATTGCAGGCGTGAACCACTGCGCCCGGTATCACTTTGTCTTTTAATAGCACTTTCCATGTATATGTTATGGATTAAACGGTCCTTTCTCATTCATTATTATCTGATTAGATCTTTGCCATCCTATCAGATAGGAAATGCACCTTGGCTATCATCGTGTTCATTTCCTGGATCTAAAAACTGATGCTCAGGCCAGGCACGGTGCCTCATGCCTGTAATCCCAGCACTTTGAGAGGCCAAGGCGGGAGGATCACTTGAGCCCAGGAGCTCAAGACCAGCCTGGGCAACATAGCAAGGCCTTATCTCTGCAAAAAATTTAAAAATTAGCTGGATGTGGTAGTTCATGCCTATAGTCCCAGCTACTTGGGAGGCTGAGGCAGGAGGATTGCTTGAGGCTGAGTTTGAGGCTGCAGCAAGCTATGATCGCACCACTGCACTCCAGCCTGAGTGACAGAGCAAGACCCTGTCTCTAAATTTTTTTTAAACTGATGCTCAAAGCTATTATGATTCAGCTGAGCCAAATCAGAAGGGCTTTGCTCTTTTCATTATCTGTGGTAGCCTTGGAGTCCAGTTTGTGAGACTTTCTGGGGTCACAGGTCATTGCAAGGGACTGCTAGATCTTCAGTCATTCTCTCTTTTGTAAATTGAGTCAGAGTCTTACTCTGTGGCCCAGGCTAGAGTCCAGTGACACAATCTTGGTTCATTGCAACCCCTGCCCCCTGGGTTCAAGCCATTCTTGTGCCTCAGCCTCCCAAGTAGCCGGGATTATAGGCACACGACACCAGGCCACACTAATTTTTGTATTTTTTAGTAGAGACAAGGTTTCACCATGTTGGCCAGGCTGGTCTCGAACTCCTGACCTCAGGTGATCCACCTGCCTCAGCCTCCCAAAGAGCTAGGATTACAGGTGTGAGTCACCGTGCCCAGCCCATGCATTCTCTTAACGCCAGCTCTCTACATCCATGGGATGGATGAATGGGCAGATGGACATCCACAAAGGCTCCTGGCTTTTGTGGGAGAGGGTTGGGTAGCAGAGGGAAGGGGGGCTGGCATGGGCTGCAGGGGCACACTCGAGAAGCGGGAGCTCGGGCCTGCCTGACCCTCCTCATTCGCTGGGTTTGTAGGTGGAAAGGCTGCAAAGGATCCTGGAGGGGGAGTCAGGGAAGGAACTGAAAGCTGGCGACCTGAGCTTGCAGCTGGGTGTCCTCAGGTAAAAAAAATGTCCCCGCTGAGAGCAGCTGGTCCCCTGGAATCACAAATTCTCAGCCAAAAGGATGATGATGGCAGTGGCTCCCTCATGCTCCTGAAGGGACCACGGTCTTTGGCCTGGATTGTCTGCCCTTCAGGTTGCCCGTGTCTAGCTCAGGGAACTGGTCGAAGCTCCCCAGGTTCCCAAAACAACTCGGGACCAGGTCTTAGAAAAGCAAAAAGAAGCTTCTCAGACTCTGGCCCCGGTAAGAGGCCGGAGGAGACCACTTCTGACGGCCCCTCTGAGCCCTCTCTTTGCAGTGCCCAGTCCCGCCACCCAGAAGCCTCCCAGGACAGAGGCTGGGCCAACAAACTCCAATGGGGTGGGGTGGAGACACCCTAGCTGTGTCTGGTCTCCCAGCACCCCTGATGGCTGAGGCTCTGCATGGGTGGGCTCGGGTCTGTGACCTGAGTGTGGAATCTGAGTCTCTCGTCGTGCACCAGAGTCACCGTGGCTGACATCGAGAAGGAGCTGGCCGAGCTGAGGGAGAGCCAAGAGACGGGCAAGGCCGCCATGGAAAATTCTGTCTCTGAAGCCTCCCTTTACCTGCAGGACCAGGTGAGGGTTCCGTGCTCTTCAGCTCCAGGGACCAAGGGCCCTTCTCAGAGCTGGCTTGTCAGAAACCAGGTCCCTCCCGTCCCGTGTGTGTGTGTGGTGTTTGTGTGTGTGTGTGTGGTGTGTGTGTGTGGTGTGTGTGTGGTGTGTGTGTGTGGTGTGTGTGTGGTGTGTGTGTGTGGTGTGTGTGTGTGTGGTGTGTGGTGTGT